GGGGGGGGGGGCGTACTACAAATTGCTGGGAACTTTCCAGTGCAAGGGCAAGACTTTTTCAGCATATGTGTTGCACTTAGAGCTGGTGTTACGATGCCTGGTGACCCAAGGAGCGCTTAGTGTCACTGACGCCGATCAGATACGGCTCCAGCAAATTCATATTGGGGCACTGTATAGCTTGGACTTACTCCGGAACCTCAACTTAGCGGGGAGCAGGAGCAGCCCACCTGACTTCAGTTACCTCCTCCGAGAGATTCGTGAAGAGGAAGAGATATCCAGACTCGGAAAGACTATGTGGGTCCCAGAGGATGTTTCCTTCCGGAGAGGACCCATGGGTCGGGTGCTAACAGTGGCTCCCCAAGAGGACACCTTGTTGGGAGTGGATGAGGAGCCTGTGGCTCCAGCACTAGCAGCTGCTGTGGCCAGAACCCTCCCCAGGGGTCAGCCCTCGCTCCGTCCTCGTGCCTCGGGAGGACCTCGGCCCCATACCTACTCTAGGGCCCCAGGATTCTGCTAATGATGTGGGGAGCTGGGACACATGGCTCGGGAGTGCACCCAGCCTGAGAACCCTGGATTAGTATTTGAAAGGTTAAAAGGGCAATGGGCAACAGGAAGCGGGCAGAGCAATGGAGTCAGCTCCACTCTGGACCCAGACAGACTCCTGCACATTACCCTCAGTAAATTCACTGCCAAAGGGGCTAGCGGGACCCTGTGTGGAGGTCCTTGTGACTGTGAGTGGTCTCCCTTGCCGGGCCATTCTAGACAGCGGGTCCCAGGTTACTATCCTATTTGAATCCTTCTATGAGGAACGTCTGAGACACCTGCCTTTGCTTCCCCTTACGGGGCTGGGACTTTGTGGCTTAAGGCAGGAACAGTATCCTTACAGGGGTTATGTAAACTTGAGGCTAAAATTCCCTGCTGAAATAGCTGGGGTGATGGAAGAAGTGTCAACCATCACTCTAGTATGCCCTGATCCAGGGTGGATGAAAGGGGCCACTCTCATTGTAGGGACCAACTCCAGCCTTTTCCAGGTTCTTGCTCACTACTGTAAACAACAGGCTGGCCCAGATTACCAACAATGGTTAATGATGCCTATCTTGTGCTCAGAGGTGTATGACCGATGGGAGCATAGAGAGATGTGGGGTCACCCTGATGTTGTAGGGACCATGCACTTCTCTGGAGCAAAGCCCCAGCGAGTCCCTGCACAGGGCCAATGGGCTTTGCCTACTGTATGCAATTGGATTGAGAGGGATGAAAAGAATAAGATGCTGGTGGTGGAGACCCCCACTGGGTGAGAGAGACCCTGTGCGCTGAGGTTCCCTGATGGTGTGATCGAGACAAAAAGGCTCAACCAAGACCTGGTTACAGTGATAATGGTTAACCCAACCTTGAAAGATATTGTGGTCCACCTGGGACAGAAGGTGGCCTTGATAAAAGAAGCTGAAGTGGTGAGCCCTGAGCAGGAGGGAAACCCCTCTCCAATTGACCCTTCAAGGTCCTTTTTTGGGAACTCCCCAGTGCCTGAAGCCTGTAAAGCTCGACTCAGAGACAAACTTGGGGTGCAAGCCCGTGTTTTCTCCCTGCATGACTGGGATGTGGAGGAGGTGGAGCATCATATTCATCTGAGCAACCCACAACCCTTTCGTGAAAGGTCTCGGCGCATTCCCTTCGCTGAGATGGGGGAAGTAAGACGTCATCTGCAGGAGCTCATGGACCACCGCATCATCACAGAATCTAAGAGCCCTTATGCCTCTCCCATTGTGATTGTGCGGAAGAAGAATGGCCAACTCTGTATGTGTATTGATTACCAGATTTTGAACTCCCGGACCATCACTGATCAATACACTGTCCTCCAGGTGCAGGAGGCTTTGGACTGTTTAGTAGGGAGCAAATGGTTTTCGGTACTAGACCTCCGCAGTGGCTACTACCAGATACTTCTGTGGGAAGAGGACAAAGAGAAGACTGCTTTTATTTGCCCCTTGGGATTCTATCAGTTTGAGCGAATGCCCCAAGGGATATCTGCGGCTCCTGCCACCTTCCAGTGACTAATGGAGAAGGCGGTTGGGGATATGCATATGACCCAAGTACTGGTTTATTTAGATGATATTATTGTTTTTGGAAAGACCCTGGAGGAACACAAAGAACAGCTACTCTGGGTACTCGATCAGCTGGAGTCTGCTGGAACTTAAGTTGGCCATTGATAAATGTAAGTTTTGCCAGGCCTCTGTGAAGTACATAGGACATATTGTATCACAGGAAGGGGTCATCACTGGTCCAGAGAAAGTAAGTGCTGTGCCCACCTGGCCTCGACCCAAGAACTTTAAGGAATTGAAAAGGTTCCTGTTATTTGCAGGTTTCTATCAGCGATTCATTAAAAACTGTGCTACAATAACTGGACCTTTAAATGCCCTAACTCGCAGACACCAGGTGGGAAGGTCACCCCGCAAGAAGGGGTGAAACAATGGCTTAAATGGTCTTCCTGTGATACGAAGCCCCACAGAGCCTTTTGGTCCTCGGTGGGACTCAAGATGTGACGATGCCTTCCAGGAGGTTGACTCAGGCACCTGTGCTAACATATGCTGGCCCCAACCGCCCTTTTATTTTGCACACGAATGCTAGCCTGTCAGGATTGGGGGCTGTACTGCACCAGGAACATGATGGACACCAGTGGTTTTTGCCAGCAGGGGATTGTTACCCAGTGAGGAACGCTATCTGGTACATAAGCTTGAATTGCTGGCCCTCAAGTGGGCTGTCACTGAGAAATTCCAGGACTGTCTGTATGGGACTACCTTCCAGCTGTGGACAGACAATAATCCCCTTTACCTATGTGCTCACCAGCGCTAAGTTGGATGTGACCGGCCAACGCTGGATTACAGCACTAGCCTACTACACCTTCAGCCTGCACTATCGAGCGGGACGAAAGAATGTGGATGCTGATGCCCTGTCTTGACAACTCCCCAGCAACCCTGGGAGTGTTTGGAGCCCCGAAACAGTGAAGACCATTTGCGACCTGCAGCTACAAGACCCTGTGGGGATGAGGAAAAGTACTGTTTGCATGGCTGAGGTGTTGGGGTTGCCCCCTGAGGGGATCCCACAGGCCTGGGTTCAGTATGCCATGCTGACTCCCTCTTCATTGCCCCAGGTCATGGCCACGGAATGGCGGACAGCGCAAGAACAGGACCCAGATGTGCGAGAGGTGCTGCATGCCCATAGATCAGGGAATACCTGCCCCGTGACCCTTAATAATGCTACCCCAGCAGCCCACCTCCTGTTGAGGGAGTGGGAAAGGCTTTGCTTGTTTGATGGAGTGCTACATTGGGAGGTGCAGGACCCAGAAGGATG